TCTTGTGGGATTTTTCAAAAAGTACATTTACAAACTTCAAGATCACTCAGATTAATAGGAGTAGACTAGAACTTCAATTAAGAAATACATATACGATTATGCATCTTGACCATAGATGCACTATAAAGTAATATTTTTAACATATTTTTTTTCTTTACGTATTTCTTTTTCTTTTTTACTTGCTTTCAGCTTTTTTTTCATCAAAATGTTCTATGCTAGTGGAGTCTCACTCCCTATGTGAATCCACACATGTGCAGCCTTCCCAGATGCTTTCTGCATGAGTACAGAATGGACCAACTACTGCACAGTTCACAGTGAGAGTGTGCATTTTCTGGCTGGGGGACATCCAGCATCATTATTCCTCCCCAGTTATAATGTCCCTGGCCTGCCCCTTCATTTACTGGATTTTTTTCAATCATGGAGGGTCAGCAATAGATGTGAGTATTACCTAGGGCAGTCACCCATCAAGGAATTTTTATATTTGCATAACTCCTCCTAAGCTCAAGTCCACTGCTTCATCAGGACTGAGGTCTATTTAGAGAAGAACCGAGACCGTGTGCTGTGATGTGTTCAGAAAGCTGCCAGAACCTTCAACCAGCCATGATCTGCCTGCATTGCATTGCATTACAAAAGGAGACCCATTGATGATATCACTGCAGCGTCTAAAATAGGGTATGTAATGAATGCGTGAGAGATGAGAAACCTGGGAAGAAAAACAAAGGTGGCTTCAAATAAAATCTTTGATTTGGCAATACTTACAGAAACTGTTGCTCAGTATGACTTGTGGGCTCATAACAGCTCCCCAGTTCAAAATCAGTGAAAAAAAACTCTGCTCCAGTCTGTCCTCCATGACCCAATTGTTCCCTCATGGGGTGCCATCATCTTAACTGTCGCACAGTATACAAAAGATGAATCCAAGCTGTCAAGCACAGCCCACACTTCACACAGCTCTTCTTATGACTTGTCATGACTCATTTCTTTCTGCACACGTAAGTGATCAAAGGGAATGATCACAGATGGAGATGTTGGCAAAACGTCATAACTTGCATTTGTGTCACCTAGTGGTTTAGGTTGCATATTTAGGGAAAAAGAGTACATTTGAAATTGCTGTGGAGCAGATTATATGGGTACAACTACAACTATGTTTACATTCTTGGGGAATGGAAGGTCTCACTTTCAGCAAACACCCAATTAAGGGGAATTTTCAGCTCTCAGAATTTGGTTTCTGAAAATGAGCAAATCATTTTCCAGCTGAAAGTAATGTATATGTATATTTTCTATCACATCCCCTGATTATATATCCATTTCTCTTAATACCTCCCACATATCATCTTAGTATTACTTTGAAAGTATAATTGTTTTGCTACTAGCCATACTTTCTGTCTTGATATAATTGTTATTACATAAATATTGTTAGCATTATCCACTCTTGTAGTCTTATATGTAGCATACAAACAGAAAGAGCTTCAACTTGATAAGGTGTTGACAAATAAGCATTTATATGTCATTATACAAGTGGCAGATTCAAGTAGGGAAAAAGTGATATTCCTATGAGGAATTCAGGCAGAAACAAAGTTTATGGTGTGCCATCTACAGGACATAAATAATAATTGATAATTGGAAGAAGACAATATAAATTGTTTGGTGGAATGTGATGTATTTTATTATTACTTACAAATATCTAAATAAAATAACCAAAAACATCTATGCAGACGTGTATATTACCCATGCCATTAAAATGCTTAGCCATACCACAAACACCCGGCTTATTTATTGACTTTTATCGAAGATGATTGGCTTGTCATCCATTCACATTGGAACTCATGAATGGTGGCTGTGGTTATAACCCTTCCCTTGCAGCTCTAATGGTCCTGGTATGAAATCTCACCAGCAATACTATGTATCTGTGTTTATTTGTTCTGCATATTATGTCAGCACTATATAAATACATATATAAAACAATTGAACTGAGCCTTAATTAGAAAGGGCAGACTGACCAGTCTGTAGAGTTCTGTGGATTTCTAGATTTCCTCCAGAGGTTTCCAGGGTTTCTGTAAGCATTGAGAACCTGACAGTGCCTGCATAGCTCTGGCATTAACCTCACTTGATAGAGCCAGCAGCATGTGACCAATGATCAAAACCACCAATGTAACAAAGAATGTTTCACATTTCATTGACCACCAGTGTAGGGGCCTTTCTCCACTGGCCACCAATGTAAGGGAGCATTCTCCAATGGCCACCAAGGTAATGGCAATGGCTATTTCTTACCACAAGTGTAAGAGGACACTGCAGTTTGCACTGTCTGTGTTTCTTATTATTTGTTTCATTTTATGATCATTACAGAAAATAATTTGTCAGATAGAGCAGGCGGTGCTCTGGTTGTTACATATATGCTAAGTATGCAAAAAAAATGTAATTTATTGTATGTAGCAAATTACTGATCACACTTCTGTACCATGGCTCGTCCGGCTCAGCGTGGTGACATCAGGAGCTCTGCCCTACATACGTTACGTCAAAACACGTGACTTCGTCAGGGGTCTGGAGCTACTGATGTCTTAAAGTCTATTTAACAAAAAAGCATACTACCGTAAAGGCAGCAAACCAGGTGCACTTCCTTTACCATATATATGGAAATAGCACCATCAGCAGAGACAACACAGGTCAGAGCACAGAAGAAATGGAAATAAATCAAATTACATATAAAATACATAAAAGTTATAAGACCAACAATATAGAGCATACAGGAGGAGCCTAAGCACCAACTTCATATAAAATTATCATACAAATAAATAAATATATCCCATATAATAGTATGCAAATAGGCGAGGACATAAAGGAAGGACATAGTAATTAGGCCAGCAGATAAAGGGGGCGATCCTTGGGACTTTTTTTGCCTATATTGCTTTTTTGTATTTGTGTAGATATTTCTTAAATCTCACGTTTAGTTTATTCATTTGTAATGATATTGCAGTCCATGACGTGAGTGAGCCTGGAGCGGTGGTTACTTTACACACAGGGACCATGGGGAACAACCTCCAGTAGGAGTCAACCGATATCGATTTTTCAGAACCGATTCCGATTATGGGCCACCTTTCAGGCCAATAACCAATATCAAATACCAATATTCTGTTTACATCCAGCTTCCCCAGCAGCTAAATATAAACAGCAGGAAGATGCCTGATATCGGCCGACCCCTTGCCCCTGCCCCATTCATTTGCTACCAGCAGGAGTCTGCAGCCAGCAGCTGCATGTAAACAGCAGCCAATGCAATAACCCGCCTGCTAACTGCAATAGCCAATATCAGGCTAGCTATTACACCCACCCACTGCCTGCTGTCAATAGCCAGCTATTGGCTATTGAAATTTACAATTGCCAATAGCAATCTGGCTATTGTTTCCCCTGCTATCTTCTGTTATCTCTGTATTCTGACAGCTGCCAGCTCACTGACAGACAATGACACCCACTGAAGAACAAGTTGAAATTCGCACAGTGTTTATTAACAGTAATATCGGTAAATGTAACCTATAATTAAAAAACGTAGTAATATTGGCCCGACTATCAGTGGATCTGATAATCGGTCGATCCCTACCCTCCAGAGGGAAGGACAGTGTCAGCACCAATTCAGAGATGATTTGAGGATCTACAGATGAGTGATACAATAAAATGTTTTTGTTAATAGTTAAGGTGCTTGAATGCATTTTTAAGATTTAATTCCTGAGTTTCACTTTAAGAAAACATGCCATAGGGATGCACCAATACCGTTTTTTCGGTTTTGAGTACGAGTACCGTTATTTATATTTCAGTACTTGCCGATACCGAGTACCGATACTTCTGGTAGCATGGCGCTGTCTTCCCGGCCAATCAGGAAGCCAGGAATGTAATTACCCATCGACTGACTTGCTGATTGGCCAGGAAGCCGACTCCATGTTTACTTGCAGCACTGCAGGACAGAGGAAATTTCCCTATGACCGGATGTTCCAATATCGGGATAAGTATTGGGGCATTTGTGCAAGTATGGGTACTTGCCCAAATGCACAAAATGGTCAGGCAGCTACAGTTGCTTCTGTAGAAAATTCCATATTTGTAGCCTCAGTGCCAAACAGAGGAAACCTCAGTCCAGCATAAGCCTGCTAGGTACACACAACAGTAAGCTGCAGGGACAGGGGCAGGAAAAACTGTCTTAGCTCTGGACCAATAACTCCATAAGGAATCCCCTAACATAAAGGCCTGACTTCAATAGCGGAGTCCCGTGTGAATTGAAACACAGACAAGTAGTCATTGTTGACTGCTGCACTGTTGCAGAGAACACCATTATAGATAATGATATGGGAACCTGCACTGCTTGATTTCAGGGCTGTCGCAAGAAGAACACCAATATAAAACAGAGTGAACCTACGTTTATTGGCTAACTGGAGAGACTTCCAGCATTAACATATCTAGTATGAGAACAGCTGTTGATAGAAGAAAAAATCTTCCAATTAGAGAAGAGTAGAGCTGAAGGAAACATGTCCACTCTCCCGAGGACACTAGCAAAAAACTGGCATGGCATGCTGGTTGAAGGCGGGCTTATCCTGTGTTTGCTAACTTTGGTTCTCTCCTGTAGGCAGCAGTATAACCCAAAAAGTAAAGACATCCATTGTCCCTCAATAAAAGGAGAAAAAAAAAACATCCTTTAAGGTAAATTTTGTGGAAATTCTGATTTTAGTATAGATGTAATGGTTTCCTAGTAGTATTACCAGTTCAACAATAAATACATAAAGATGATATGCGTATAGCTTCCCATAGTCCTTCCTGGTCAACATTTTCATTAGTTGTGAAATAAAAACAGGGCCACAATAAAAGGCCAGTAGTTCCCCATGATGAGCTTTGGGTGGTTAAGTCCATGTGTGTGGAATAATACCTTATTCCTTTACAATTGGCACTATAAGACAAGTATGATCTTCAGCCAACTAATGATTGGCCATATGGCTTTTCCCAAGTAGAAATATAGGCATGTTTGTTCATCTGGGTGGTAGTGAGTATCGCACTCGTTGAAGACGGCTTGGCAGATTTGAACCTTGGCTTTTGTTCTGCAAGAACTAGAAGAGAAAGGAATCAGCTACAAAAACTGAACCAGAAAAATAACGTTTGTAGGAAAATACAGGAAATAATTTAGAATATTTGTTCCAGTCTGTGAAACAGAGCTAAACAATAAAAGTACAATCTAGTCAAGCATCAATAAATTGCATTTATGGAGTGGAGTGGAGATTCACCTTTTTACACATGGATCACTAAATCCTGAATACTCTCCTGAACAGCGTAGAATTAAATGTGGAAACACTGGCCAGCACGTTACTTGTTTATCCTCTGTCTAAGCTCATCTACACTCTGGAGCAGTCAATCAGAAATAACCTCCCTGAAAGGTAGCACATAATCATGTGACATGAATAGAGCTGCAGCTAACGATTATTTTCAAAATCGATTAGTTAGCCGATTATTAAGTAAAGTTGCAGTGCTGCTCAGAAGCGCATGAAAAACCTAGAAATTTTGGCTGCAAGTAATTGTGTAATCTCATATTTGGACTTTTTTGATTTAACATAATTGTAATGGTATTAGCTGTTTACAGATTGATTTTACCTGTTACCTGGTGGTGCTCTTAATTTATGTTGCATTTGGCACACAGCAGTGGTATTATAAGAGACTGGAGGTGACACAACCACTCCACCAGTTGCCTTTTTAGCAGCTTCATTGTATGCACAGCAAATATTTTCATTTGCCTTTAATAAACAGATGACTGCAATGTGCATTTATAATTTTTTCATTTTCCATAGTTATTTCTGCTTTCATAATCAGAAGAAATATGGTACTCTAAAGTATTTAATAGAAACTCAGGAAATCGGTGCTGTTAATTTCAATGCACAATAGTATCATTTAATAAAGTGTGTTTTGGTAATATTTGCATAATATCCATTAACAGGTTTATTTAAACCAAGAACACCTATTTATCATAATGATAAAATTAGTCTATACACTTTCATGTGAAAAGTTTTCAAGTTTAGACTTGCAGTCGATTTGAATAAAACATATTTTTATGAAATATGATTAATTGCTGGCTGTATGTCTAGTAAATAGTCTCACTGCAATCTCACACAGAGCCTGGGAGGCCAGAAACTCCATTTCACTTTGTGCCTGCACAGTGCAAGTACGTTCTTAGTGGCCGGTCAATAGCAAAGCACATCAGAATGGTAATGTGGAGGGCGATGTTGGGCCATGTGCGACAAAACTGTTTCCAGACCTCAGAAGCAGCAACTGCTGTCCCAGTGATAATAATTGAACACAAATACCATGAAGATACCGTAGAAGTGTACTTTTTAAAATATTTGGCATGTAGCACAGGGCTGTTATGGCCATTTCTATCTTGGTTTACTCTGGGCAAAATGAGGGTGATCACTGTCTTCTGCTCTTAGATCTTCTGCTTTTACTCTACCTACGCCCCCACCCTACACACACACACACACACACAAAAACACACACACACACACAGCACAGGGCTGTTATGGGCATTGGTATCTTAGTTTCCTCTGGGCAAAATGAGGGTAATCACCATCTTCTGCTCTTAGGGGTCTATTCACAAAGCTGGCGAAGGATCTGGCCGTAGCTTCGGCCGATCCTTCGGCTAGCTTCGGCACCAGGACCCCTTCGGTTCAGGAGAACCGAGGGGGTGCTGTACGGGCTATTCACAATAGCCCGTACAGCTCCCGA